ATTTTTTATAATTTGAAGGTGAAGGGTGCAAGTTACCATCAATGCCCTTCATTGTCCAAAAGCAGGAGTAGAGATTGTGTGTGATTTTAGTGTGTGTGCAGTGGGGCTGTGGACACAGACTCGCTGCGTGGTGCTCCCAGTCAGTGAGGTGGGAGGGAGAAGTAGGCAGGAGGCAGAGAACAGGGACAGTGTCCTGAGACAGTGGGAAAGGTGGGGACTGGGCGTGGGGAGACATGTTCTGCTGATGAGACCTGTGTCTTTAAAAATGACTCTCAGTTGAGCAGGAATATGAAGATACGTTGAAGACAACTCAAAATAACAAGATATGTAGGGCTGGGGATGGAGTTCAGTGCTTGCCTATCATGTCGAGACTCCAGGCTTTGTCTTCAGCATCACAAAATACAATAAAATTTTAAAAATATGCAATACAAGCACACGTTTGTTGGAGAACAATAAAAATACAAATATGCAAACGTTATTTTTAAGAAATCGTTATTTTCTCTGAGGTGAGAATCAAATTCTGTGCCATCCAATTTGGTAGCTATTAGCTAATTATGGCTACTGAGCACTTGAAACGTGACTGGGCTGAATTGAGACGGATGTCCTATCAGTGTAGTAACACATAGCGGGTTCCAAAAATTTAATGTGAAGAGAATTTAAGGCATGTTGTAAGTAATTTTTATATAGACATTACATTGAAATAATATCTTGGGTATACTGAGTTAAATAAAATATATTATTAAAAAGCTTCATCAATCTTTATCTTTTCTAAAGAAAGTGGCAAGAATGACAGAGTAAGTGTGTTCGCTGTGAGGAGGAGCATTTTGAGGGCATTAATGGAAATATATCATTTACTGTAATAATAATAACTCACTGTATTTATATTTTAAAATTTTTTATTTTATGATGCAGGTATCTCACTAGGCAGATTGGACTCATAGTGATTCTCCTGTCTCAGGCTTCCCAGCGCTGGGCTTATAGGTGTGTGCCACCACGTGCAAGAGCCCGCACGATGCACTCAGTGTTCGGGTGGAGGGGGCGTGGCATGTGGTACTGGGGATCAAACCCAGGACCTGGTGCTTGTCAGGCAGGTGCTTAGGCCGCCAAGCTATCTCCATTCCAGAAACTGCATTTTAAAAATCACACCTTGTAATTTTGTCTTTGAAGTGTAACTAAGTAATAGAAATCATGTTTCATTTGTTAGATTTAGCCAAATTCCCTCAAGTTATTTTCCCCACATCGTTGTGGTCAAACCTTTAAATTTTTATTAACCTCTTAAAATATTAACTTCCATTGTAGTTCCTTAT